AACCTTGTTCAGAAACAGAAAGTTTGCGTGAGACACATATAACTGGCCTACCTTCCTGCTCCAAAACTGCACCAATACCCACAGGTGATGCATCAGTAATAAGAACAGAATGTACACTGGGTGAGTAAGTTCGAAGAACAGCATCACTTTGAAGAAACTTTAGTAAACTTCGTAGGCTTGACTCTTGTTCTTCACCCCATTTGAATGAATTGGATGTCAAAATATTAAATAAACAGTTGGCACGGCAAGAAAAATTAGGAATAAAACGAGAATAGTGTAGTATCGGTTCATATGTTAAGCCCATATACTTTATTCTAGTTACTGGCCTAGCCAATCCAACTATACATTGAGTCATATTTTGATCTTGTTAATCATTTGTTTATAAACCTTGACTATACTTTTATATGAGCATATATGTGTACACTTCGTATCTTATTCATCATATGTCTGTAACTCATTTATGTCCGACTATAAGTGTTGATTAACGCTTACTTAAATCGAGTTGGGTTCCCAGCCATCTCCAATGCGCATGGTCTTTCGCTTCGTTCGCTTTTATTCGCTTCATCACTCTGATTCTCTGGCCAGATCAATGACTGTAGAAAACATATGTATTCTAAATCTATTCTCGTATTTGACGTATTTAACTCCGTTGTTCACCAACGCGGATAAAGTCATTTATTACATACGAGTACAGACAGAATCAGATTTACGCTACAACAATAGTACTGAAGAGCACCCACTAGTGAACGTAATTCCGTGATATTTTTTGGAGACGGTGCATTTGTCAGTGGGGCTAGTCGTTTCATATCCGGTCTAAAACCATTACCATCAACTAGGTATCCAAGGCATTCAAAACTAGATACACTAAATGAACATTTATTCGGATTCGCTGTAATATTCTTCTCAATTAAACGACGCAATAAAGCAATAAGTCTCTGGTCATGAACTACTTTATCAGCACCATGAACAATGAGATCATCTTGATAAACTTCAACATCTTCAATATCGCTGACTATCTTATTCATGACCTCTTGAAATATGGCTGGAGAACAACTAAGACCAAATGGAAGGAAGTTGTATTTGAACAGACCAAAAGGAGTGTTAATTGTTGTCAAGATAGATGAAGATTGATCTAAAGGGATTTGAAGATAAGCATCTTTCAAGTCAACTTTCGAGAACACTTTAGAACCATGAAGTCGATTTAGAATATCTTCAGCCTCCATCGTCGTGCATGTTTGCTTCAACAAACGGGAGTTCAGTGTTAATCTGTAATCACCGCATATTCTAGGGGTCTTGCCATCCGTCTTCAATGGCGTAACAATAGGAGTACCCCATGCTGAGGACTGAACTGATTCAATTATACCTTTCGCACACAAATCGTTCAGTGACTTATGTACTGCTTCTCGAAGACCATAAGGAATTATTCGTCTTCCAAGAAAGACTGGATCACCCTGTACTTGAAGTTTTATGGGCTGAATTTTCATACCACCACTACATTTAGCACACACAGCTATCAAATCCTTGAGTAAAGCATAAGAATTCTCTGTAGAAACTAGTAGAGATTATTCCACTTTAAGCCTTGTCAGATTTTTTAAACCCAGTATGGACAGTCGTGTTTCACTAACTAAAAATTCACAAGGTATGTATGAAGAATTATCATTTCTTATTAGCAATTTACAACATCCTCGTATAGGCAGTCTGTGTCCAGTAATCCCCAGTATTGAGACCTCAGTGGGTTTTACCACAACATTAGGATCTAAAGATTTCAAGTTCTTGAATGAAATAATGGACTCTATACTACCTGTGTCCACAATAAAGTCATGAAATGAACCAAGGGATGTATATAATCGCTTTTGAATAGGAACATTCCCTTTTGAAGTGGTGGATAAAGATAAATGATCATTAGAAACAGCAGAATTATTGAGATCTAAGTTACCAGACTTATTAATACTTGAAGCAAAGTGAACAGTAGTTTTGCACACTGACTGAATGTGTCCTATCTTGCCACATTTAAAACATTTAGCATTACGAAATGCACATGAATTACGAGAATGAAATTTGCCACAAGATAAGCATTTACCAAACTTATTCTCACCTTTGTTGTTTGCTTTGTAGTCCCTTGTTAAACCACCTTTCATATTTCCACGAGAATAGAAATCACAATTAAACGAACGCAAATTTGATCGACCCTGAGATTGTAATTCATCATGACGACTAAGCAAAGTATTAGAAATTTTCATCGATTGAATATCAAGTTCATTCACTGCTTCGTAGTTAATACATGCAGTTCTGGCATCTTGAAAGGAACAGTTCGGCATTCTTAACAGCTATTTTTTCAGACGTGGTATGTTAATACCTGCAATTAATCGATCTCTCAGCTGTACATGAAGTTGATCACCAAAATTGCATTTGGCAGCTTGTCTTTGCAATTCAAGGATGAAGTCTTTAACCTTCTGGTTATCCTGACGAATCATCTTATGAAATTTTGCTCTCTCACGACATTCAAAACTGGTGCACTTCACATGATTTAATAGTAATTCCTTGAGAGTTGTATGTGGGAGTGAAATCGGCTTATCTGGATATGCCAAGGTTTTTAGTAAACTGTAGGCTTCTTGACCGATGAATGTAAGAAAATGTGCCACAATTTTGTCACACTTCATATCTTTCTTGGTCATGCTCCATATCTCAAACCTTTCCAGGTAATCCTCAAAAGCTTCAGAAGTTGAATGAATGTCCAACTGTTGTATCGCAGGATCCATCGCGACGCCAATATGATGATCAGAAGTATTTGAATTGTAGTATAAACTTGTAATCCCAGGAATAACGCAAATTAATCAAGAAGTATCAGATGAGCCCGAACGAATGTATTGTATTTAGAATTCAAAATTACAACAATCATCGATACAAATAAGTCATTGATTTATTTAAACATCACAAAAATCTTCAGGTATCATAAAGCAGGAAAGAAAAACTTGTCCTCACTGTTTGATCTTACACGTCCTTTTCCATGGTTGTCCAACATTACCATTAGATTTGACTGATCGCGTTGTTGAATTCCGGGAGCTTTGAGAAACTCATTTTGATTGATCTCGAGTGCTAACCATAGACGGAGACAAGCAGACATATACAAGAAATATACGTGGATAAAAGTCTATGGTTAATCGTGTATTGATACGTACGATATCATCAACTAGCTTAAGAATACATTTGTGAGAGTTGGATAATAACATTCAACAGTTTGCGTCAATCTGTCAAATAGATTCCTTTTATTATTGTAAGTTTGATTAACTGTTTATTGTGATTAAGTGATTGATGAGTCACCAACACTTGTGTCAATGCCAAGCTTGATCATCTTGAGCGGAGTAACAGAGCAATTTGATGATTTTTTTGACTACAAAAGTTTCATCATTCTTGCATATCGACTTTTTGCGTACACCCTAATGGTAGATTGTGATGATTATGAGTATTTGAACTACAGTACAAACTAGGAATCCCAGAAATAACGCAGTTTAATCAAGAAGTACTAGATGGTCACGAATGAATGCATTGTATTTGAAGTTCAAGATGAAGCAGTCATCAATACAAAGAAATCGTTAGTTCATACAAACACCACAAAGATACAGACTAAATAATTCAGGTCTGATTCCCTACACATTGCGTAAAAAAATATTTGAAGGCCTACGGAGTAGAACTATATTTAACAGAGTAGTCAAAAATCAACATAAAAATTCAACAACAACCTAGCGTCTGAAGGTTTTAAAGTGTGATAGTAATCCAGTAAACTGATCAAGATTAGCCCTAAAAATTGAAATAATGAGGTTTACCATGGAGATGAAGTGAAGATTTTGCATTGATGGAACGTGGGCTCGCTGACTGTATACTTTCTTCACTTTCACTTAATGCTTCGTTTTCAACTGAATTTCTTTCTTTCGAAATTATGACATAAGTCTTATATCATGAACTCACTATGGCAAATTATTTATTTTCACGGTGAAACACTAGTTACCTATGAAAGCAACGACATCAACCCAACAGCAGTACTGCCTTAACACCACAATAGGTGGGCGGAGATAGGGTTTGCAATAGAATAGCTTTCTATTGAAGTGTCAATGCACATATACCACTCTCAGTCTGTTTTTATGTATATTACTTTCTTACCAGCTCTCAATTACTATTATAAATTTCCATAACTATTATTCCGTTAATATTCTTAACATTTTATTTCATTTGTTTCACGTCGCTTAGCGACCAGTTATCTTCCATACTTTTAGTTCGTGAGTTATTTTAGTTTTGCCTTTCCCTTCAACTTCTAGACCACTATGAAACCTTTTTGTGATACTTGAAGTATACTGGCATCGCAAAGGTTATTCAAGATTTAGTTATTCACTAGAATTGAAAGTTTCCTACGAAATAGAAAAACTAAGAAATTTAAGTCCTTTATGCTATCACCTAAACTATAACATGATACTGTCTTACTGTGGTCAGTGAGTAGTTAATATCGATTTCGTCAGTAAATTATCAGTTCGATCATCTAAATTATCCAATTATTGTATCAAATTGATTATCCTGTAATTACACCAACTACTATTGCTTGCATCGTTGTTTCAAGCCCTTGGATCTCAACCGATAGGTTCAAACCCTATAACTAATTTACTTAACCAGATAGTATTACTGGCTATATATGGAAAATGTGTACTTGGTAATCAGATTACAATATTATTATTAGTTGATAATTCGTACAATAAACCGGGTATCTATTTGAATGAACTAACTTTCATGACCAACCAAAATCCTACTAAATTATAATTATCTGAATGAATTATATCCTAAAAAGTCAGTCAGTCAGCTACAACGTAGGACCAGGTCTAAGGCAACTTATCGGTCTAAGTTGCCATACCTCATTAGCACAATAAGATGAACACCGGATTCATAGAAGTGTTTAATTAAGTGGTGGTAATATATAAAAGATGTGTCGTAAAGACAAGTCGTAAAAAGTAAAATAGGTTGCAAAAAGTATTATTATTTTCACTTTCTTCATATACATGTGTTTGCAATCAGAGATGTTTTTTTTCAAAAAAAAATGCAAAATTCGTACAAAAATTTCCTCATATCATTTTTACATAAAGTAATAAAGAATTTAAGTAGTATATATTATTGGCTGTTGTTTTTTTACAATATCCTATCTGAACGTTTTTCTTTGAAGCCACCAAAAAATATTGTTCTTTCTGAATTGCCATTCTCTCAAAAGTTTTATAACTTGACTAAAGTTCACAAATGAATTATTAACTAAAGTCTACTAGAAAATTCAATGTTTATGCTTTAAGTAGGAAAATGAGCGGTAACAGTTACAAAGGAAATGAATTGTGATCATATAAGTCTTCTTTTATATCTTTCTTTTGAAGCATTACGAAATAATGAACTTGTTAAATTGATTGTTGAAAAATGATTTGCTTTAGTAAATATTTGTGAAATTCTACTAGTTTGTGAATGTTGAAGTAATTTGTCACCGATCTTTTGTACAGAATGTTCATTAGTGTTCATGACTGTTTAAATGAAGAAAAATAGATTTAAAAAAACGATTATAATTGAATATATGAATGCTTTAGGAAAAATGTACTGTGGGACGTAAAACTTTCTAGAAATAGTTTGAATAGGACTCTAGTCACTAATATTTATTACAATAATACAAGTTTTGCTTTATACTTCTGCATAAAAGTTTATTATATCCACTTTTTATGAAATTTCACTGGTGATAATAGTGACTTTCACACGATTAAATAGTTCAATATTTCATTAAAAGTGATAGGTGGTAAATAGTGAGGATAACTGATGAAGATCAGTGAAGATTGAACTACCTCAAGTTAAATCTTAAAATCCTCTCCTATCATTGGTTTATGTTATGAATCTATGAGAGGCGGGAAAATAATGGCCCATAATGTTGGTGGATGATGTTGAAGTGTAAAGAACTATATATGGTGATGACGATAAAATGAAGTTACAGGTAAATCTTCATGTCCCGAATGAGTATAAGAATTAAAAATCACCAGAACAAGTTTGTATTGGTAATCATATCGGCAATGATGGTTATGTTACGTCTGGCCGATTGAACGCTATATTCGCTTCCCTAAACTAGTTCCGTACCCACGAGCTAGAACTATACACCGCGACTTGAAGACCAGAGAAAAGGCACAAAGTGTGTGGGAAGCGCTTTACTACAGGGTTCATTTTATGTACAGAAAATATAGGGATTTTATAGTAATTTAAGAGTCCTTGAGTTTTAACGAAAATTCTAGAATACTGCTAAACATAGTAGCAGTGCATTAATCAGCCAATCAGGATCTCTACATGTGGCTTTTCAATTTTCGTTATTTTAGTAACATAACTTCTCATAACTTGTAATTAATCGCTGATTGGTTGAAATGCTCCTTGATGACCCATGAGCTTGTCATGTCGCTTGCGAGAAAATTGCAGGGTCATCTCAACAGGCTAGATGAACCTTTCTGTCGAAGTTTACTCATTATCAGGATCTACAAGACTTTGTTAGACATGATCTTTGAATAATAGTGCTTGGTTGGTGAAAGTAAACAAGTCTTCTTGTTTAGTTATTTGGGGCCCTTGAGATTAGACCGTAAGACAGGAGAGCAGTTGTATTGATCTAGTTCGGGCACTAATTAGCTCACCTAAAATGTATATCTATTACCAATGCCCTTCGACTAATCAAGGACACGCCAAATGTGAGATAACAGCCGAAAGTAACACTAAATGACTATTAGTCCAAAACGGGGTTTCTTACTCTCGCTCCCCTGATAACCAGAATAGAGAAGGCAAATAACTTCTAATTGTACAGTCGGGAATTACAAATTATTCATACAATAATACAGAGCGAAATTCTGACCACTTATCAATAGAATTAAGAAATTACAATATAGGCATAACTACGTTACAAGTGGAAAAAACTGAATAACAGGTCCGTTATAAATTACCAATAATAAAGGGAAGGTGAAATATATAACAATGATTTATGTGTCAAACAAAAACATACAAGTACGGAAATGAAAAAATATAGTAGTTTTAGTAGCTAATAATTATGGACGAAAAATAAAAACAATAACTTCTGATAGGACCTTCCCGAAAGTTCATTTTCATTCAATATTTGTCATGATATAGGATGTAGATAACTACAAACTAGGGGTTGGTTCTGAAAATGGAGGACTGAAATATTGTGACTTCTTCCAACTGTTTCATTTTTGAGGTGTGGGTTTATATAGTCTTTCATTACCCTAAACTGAGGATCTGATATTAATGTGTTTATTGGTACTTTTGACACATAATTTATCACCTAAGAGGACATTCTTGAAAAAGTCAAGTTATAATCATTTGGAGTTGGATGATCAAGTGTTCTGCCTATGCCATGCTTTCAATGTACTGAAACTGTTCTATCCGTCTGACTATTGTAACGACTCTGACACTACGTTTCCTTATACACTACTTGCAGGCGATCCTGTGAGTAGCGTTTACCACAGCAGTACCATAAAGTGTCATGAATCTATATACGGGAGCTTGATGCAGATATTCAGTTTATCGATCTAACAAGTTATTCATTTTTTAATATCATAAATTTTAAGTGATTTTCAAGATATCTTGTAGTTTGTACGTAGTTAAGTCAAATTTATCACGAAAAATGTTTTCCTGCTTTTGTATGTTTGACAGGGAGAGAAGTTTAAGTTATCAAGATTTAAGAGATACTAGCAAGTTGTTTCGTGATTGTCTAAAATGTTTTGAGGTAATATTAAAGCTATTATTCAACCATTTCGATCTGATTTATATTCAATTTAATTTTTAAAGTATTACCATTGATATTTTCAAAATACTTGTAGCTCAATGGTAAGAATAGTAGCCATAGTGATAGCAATGATAATCACTTTCTGTAACAGCATTCTTATGATAATAGGTCGCGGACTGGCTTTGTTTACTCAACTATCAAAAACCACTGGACATCTGGTTCGTTATAGGATTGATTTATACAGTGTACACTTATAATCCTTCCAGAAATCGAGTTCAGGACGTCCGGTTCTCGTAACTGTTTGGTCAGAGTTATTCGTTGGTGTATGTTTTCCAAATGAATAATCTCCAGAAGCCTCTCATCTTTACCATATCATTCGTCACAGAGAATAATTCTTGGCATAAAGTGTGTGACAGTGTAATAAAGTTCGAAGTATTTGAGAAACAAACTAAACTAGTTCTGCAATAATTATCTTTTATTTATCTGTACCCACAAAAGTTTTCTGCTAGTTCTTTTCTTTATGACATTTTTGTCATAATATATGTCTGAACCACAATTTCCAGTATTTTCGACCCTTATTTTTTAAATAAACAGACACAAATGTACCAGTCATATTGATAGAATTATACAGAAATAGGCTTCGAGGTGAGTTGTAAGCCTTTTATAAAGGCGAGTAAGTGGATTTACATGATTAACATACACTATGGATTACTCAAGACATCCAATATAGTGACAAGTCTAAAAATATTTACACAATTAAGCAATAAGTAGCCAAACGGCATGAGTAAGCCCTTCAACATGGTCATTTCTGATAATAAAAAAATCAAGAACTTAACCATTTGAGTTATTAATAATCAATAGATCAATGATATGGGCGGTCTATGCTCCTCCACGAGGAGTCACAGGCATAAGTAAGTAACATCAATGATCAGTAGACGTGAAGATATTTAAACCAAGTGTCATAGCTTCCATTGTTTTATTTTTGTCATACCAAAGTATTTTTCATCTAAAAAAGTATTTTTAATTATATATTATTTTGGTTTAAATATTTCTGTTATACTATATTATTATTATTATCGTTGAAATACATCCTCTTTTTTATTAGATTGATTGAAACAATAATAAGGAGGATAATCTAACATTCAATTTCCACATGATAAAGGAAACTTAGTCATCAACAAAATAATGGGCGTATATATATGTATCTGTGTTCATTGTATATGTAGTCATTCATTCATGAAGTCATTAATTAAGGAAAGAATATTCCAGATTTGTCTATTTATCACATAAATAAAGGGGAATTTATGAGTCATTCACAAAAGAGAGATAAACAAGGGGTTAGAGATAGTCGACTTGTTTTCTTGTTTCTTTTCTTATATACACTACAGTAGATATATTTAATGTAAATGATTCTTCTTATTAATTAAAAAATGCATCCAAAAAATGATATTTCTAGAGAGATAATGTGACTTTATCTTCAAAAGAACTGATCATTGAATCACAACTTGAAAGCTCAATAAGCAAAGATGGTTAGTGGCTAGCAGTAGAATCCAAGATGCGCGTTTCATCCTATTTGGGACTCGTCAGCTGGATGTACCTGCATCACAGAGTTGATGTTCACTCTGGGACTCGAACTCAGTACCTTTCGCTTCAAACGTCATCGAGTTATCCACTCAGCTACTGAGTCCTGATAGCCACTTGCTTGTGCAATGGGGTGAAGTTTAAATTCACTTAGTATTGTTTGTTTGTATCTTCCCATTGGTGTTTAGGACTGCGATTGACCAGTCCCTTATTGGTATATATGCATACTGTGCATATTGCCTCGATATTGCCTTAATTCACAAGCATCCTTAGCAAAGATGAATAGTGACTAGCAGTGGAATCCACAATGAGCATCAACTCTATGATGCATGTAAATTCAGCTGACGAGTCCCAAATAGGATGAAATGCGCGTCCTAGATTTTACTGCTAGTTACTATCCATCTTTGCCAATAACAAATTATTTACATTTGTAAACTAATTTTTTTGAGTTATGAAATTATAATAAGTGAAAATAGAATTTTTCTTTGCTAAATTTCATTAACTGCACAGTTGACAATAATAAAGTTATGAATGGAATTCTATTTAGATCCAATAATACTTAGATAATTCATCATTTCCTTAATTCATTAATCAATTAATTAAAGCGTATATATACTCGTAGTGTCATAATTAACTTAATAGTGTTTTATTTCTTGGATGAAAAAAGATTGGATCAAAAATATTTATCAGTAATTTTGCACGATTGCTACATTACAGATATCAAGGATGTTATAGTTGAACATCTATAAGAGATGGCATTGTTGAGAAGATCCATTAGTTGTAACTGGAAACTTAAATTGAATGCTGAATAATGTATGAAGTGTTGAGATGATATAGTATCGCAGTCTTGTGCATGCTGGAGGAAAAAAACCTATTAGGGAAGTGAACATCTTTTGCTCGTTCTAGTTTAACACTGAGACAAATAATACCGTCTAATAAACTGAATAATAAAAAGATAAGTTACGCTGGCTTCTGCTTTTGTGGAAGTGCAATGGTATGAGTATTGAAGCAAATTATGTGCTGTCAAAGTACATTTAAATCCAATTTTTTAGGTGTGAGGAAAATTGTGAGAACTTATAAGCTGTTTTCCAAAAATGCAAGTGTAATAAGGGAAGAAATTTAAAAGAAAACCAAATAATTAGCAGTATCTCAAATCTACTTCTCATGTCTTGGGTATTTACGATAGAACACTAAAAAATGGACATTTTTGATATATCAGAAGCTACCAATTAGTTATACTAAAGTATCTTCAGCTGGATACTTCTAAATACAATGAGAACTGGAGGATATAAATGTGCTTCTACAGACTCGGTTGAGTTTGCCGTGTCGTGATTTATCAAATATACTTTTTAGATCCTGGCACTATATACAAACAATGTAGAAGCACTTATCCGACCTTATCATCGCTCTAGAGGTCGGATATTATGGAGTAACGTGAATAAGTTTTTATACCTGATATATCACAATCTTTGAACACCAGAACATTAAAATTCTACTGAAAATTTTCAATCAATCGAATATCTCACTAGATCTGACAACCATACAGTAAACAGTTTATTTGCAAACTATCAATCAATTGTCTCAATCTTGACCATTCCTTCTGCAAATATCAGTCCATAGTCTCCGATTATTATTGTTCATACATTTTCATACTTATTGCGTTTCGTTTCCGTTCTTTCCTTATCGATCTTCTAGTGAAACACATTCAATGCTCGATCATCGATATATACGACTTGTGTGGATATAGGTAGCTCACACTACACTATTTGTCCATGAATTTCTAGTTCATTTTAACATTTTTATTTAACTTCTCACAATTGAGATGTTAATTATAAGGAAGCTATATGTTATTTCTCAAATCGAATATAACAATTATATTCATATTGTTGGGATGACCCTGCAATTTTCTCGCAAGCGACATGACAAGCTCATGGGTCATCAAGGAGCATTTCAACCAATCAGCGATTAATTACAAGTTATGTGAAGTTATGCTACTAAAATAACGAAAATTGAAAAGCCACATGTAGAGATCCTGATTGGCTGATTAATGCACTGCTACTATGTTTAGCAGTATTCTAGAATTTTCGGTAAAACTCAAGGACTCTTAAATTACTATAAAATCCCTATATTTTCTGTACATAAAATGAACCCTGTAGTAAAGCGCTTCCCACACACTTTGTGCCTTTTCTCTGGTCTTCAAGTCGCGGTGTATAGTTCTAGCTCGTGGGTACGGAACTAGTTTAGGGAAGCGAATATAGCGTTCACAATCGGCCAGACGTAACACATATATAAGTTTTTAAAAAGTGATTTTGTTGTAATTGACTAATAAAGTAGTATTTGATGCAAGCCAACAACATAATTACTTCTTAATATCATGCCTTGTTCATCATTACTTATAATAGATTGGCTAATTAGACTATTTATAAATGATATATATCAATGAATAGTGAATAATGTCATGCTCATATAATTCTTTTAGTGTTGATCTAATCCAATCCATTAAACTGTTATGTAACTTATAATCTAAGTAATATGACATTGTGTGCATACGGAACTTATCAGTAAGGATTATCTGTAATCTTGTAGTTTGATAAAACAGTTAAATTAAGACTTAAGATGCATACACTTTTATATCCCGTCGAGAATTATGAATGTTAACGTTGAGGACTATTTATGGACCAATGTGATATGTATATTTCCTAATGTATAATTGTTAAGTAACTTAACTGTTCATATTCATGTTCCTCTTATTATAAGTATTATTTTGACCCATAGATTATTACTGTACGATATACCATTCCTGAGTTATACCCAGTCTATTTATTACTGTTCCCCCTATTCACAGCCACATTTGGCTAAATCTTGTACAAATGTTATTTTTTATTTTACGGTACGATGTAGTCAGTTTGTTTAGTATATAAACCCACTATGTTTGAGAATAATGATTCATATTGCAGGGACTGTTATTGTGTTCTGGACTTAACTGGCTGGGCTAGACAGATAGCAGGACTGTTAAGTATTCAAGATTGCTCATACGACTTTTGTGTATTATTGATCCGATCGATAATTCACTCCTCTCTTATTGGCGGGAATCAGCACATTCATATATATCAACTGGGCAATAACGCACTCAATCAATATAACATACGCTAATAATGACAAGAATTACTGAAATCTTGGTCAAGATGAAAATACTGTTCGGTTAGTATTATTTTCTCTCTGATTTCAAATTCAAGTAAATCACTATCGGACTAATATTTTCTTATGTAATCAATACTGTCATGAATTAAAAAAGAATAAATACACTTACCTTTTGTTTTATATATATCTGAACGTGTCTTCTCTGTGTAGTTACTACGTATATTGTTATCACTATTATTACTATTATATTGATGATGATCAATATGAGTACCATTGTCAGTATTATATTTCTCAGATAGATTACAATCATTAACATCTTGATTTAAGTTTGGTTGAGAAAATGAGAATAAATTTTCATGTAAACTGCCAGTTTTTAATTTTAATCTATGAATATTTAGATTGTCATCATCAATAAATTGATATGGAGAAACAAAATATCTAGTTGAGGAATTACAGTTATTAGGCTTATGGGATGAATTTTCAATTCGATTAACTGAATCAATTCGATAATTATGTTGTAATGTTGAACGATGCTCCTGACTATCTGAATAAAACACAATAAGATGACATCTTGTAGATACATTAAAGGTACAAAATAAATGAATAAAACTTGATAAGCAAAATGATTCTATGAAGAATTTCGAATAATTTTAAAATGATTTTTATAGGAACTTATGACTAAAAACCAGATTAAATTTAATTCGTCCGTAGGGAGCAATCGCTAATTGATATGAGATCGGATCTCGAATTTTCAGATCTTATGATGGGTACAGATCCACTAGATCTTTAAATCACAATCAGTCTACTATGCTCTTCAACTATAAATAATTTGTGATGTGGTGTGATACCCAGTTGAAATGTTTTGCTAATGATGATTAGTCAACAACTAGAAGTAGCGAAATCCTGATTAAAACTTATCAATAAAATGTAGCGGTTACTTAGTGTTCAGATACTTCTGAGGCCCAAATACACGATTCTTACTAAGACCTTGATAAAAGGTAGTAATAGGTCATTAGCTACAATTAAAACGGAGAGAAATAGTTTAAATGGTGATGATCTAATGTTGTATAAATTCTCGATTCTAAACTGTAGATATATTTAAGTACACATGTTTCTCATAGAATCAAGGTGAGGAATCATCTTTGAGAAGTTTTCATATGAATAACTTTATGCCTTATTGTCTAGTTGAAGAATAGGAATTTTTAATGTGAGTACACTATGTTTTCAGATCTATTTTTCTTACTAAAAGCTTTGAAAATGTTCATGGAGGTAAAATCTTTCTATTCATTTTATCGTAGTATTGAGTGGCATAATTTATGATTACATTAGTACTAAACATCACTATTAGAGCAGTATATTTATAATATCTATCAGTAACCATTCCAAAGTTTTAAAATTATGTGATGGATACAAATTAAGCATGATTGTCAGTGTTCATTTTCATTCACTAATAAAATAACTTCCAAGACGTATACCTTAAACCTATAGAGTTTTGACAATATTTTCTTTTATGATTCATACATATCTGTGTCAAATTATTAAAAATTAACAATTTTCAGCCATTAGATTGTTTTGACTTATAATATCCCTTCACATATGTGCCTCAGGGTTATTGTGTGTAACTGTCATTCAGCGGCAAATTAAGCCAATTGAGAAAACATCTCCATATACATTCAAATGTTCAGAAATTATGACATAAAGGAATATGAATCTTATAAAAGCCTATCTTTACCGATTTATAGCCATTAAGTACCATAACTAATAGGAATGTGAACTCGCATTCTTTTAAAGGTTCAAGCCAGGGAGCGAAAATCCTCTAAATTTTAAATTAGTGAGTATGGATGCGATTATTTATGTTTTAAACTACAACAGATTCAATATTTAGTGAGATGGCCCTTGATTCTTATTGTTTACAACTGTATCATTGTTGACAGAAGTGGGTTCTACATTACGTACTTTATTAATTACGCCTGTTACTCCTCGACTAAGAACATAGGCCGACCACCATCATTCTCTATCCAACTCTGCCCGGGAACAATCCCTTGCAGTTGTTTCCGCTTGCTGTTAATCCTTTTGATGACTTTCCAATTTCCGACGTAGTGTGTTCGACGGCCTTCCTCTTTCCCGTTAGCGCTTGTTTCGTGATGCGTTTTGATGATTTCCTAAATGTGTGTCCTATATACTTCCAACATTTTTTCCTTATTTCCTTTGCAACTCGAATCTCGTTTGTTCTCTTCTACAGTAGGCTGTGGCTGACGGTATCCTTCCAATAACGGACATTGAATGTGTTGTGTAGACAATTGTTTATAAATACTTGTATATTTTTGTTGATGGTTACAGTAGTTCTCTAACTTTGATCCCTGTACAGTAGAACTACTTTGACGTTCGTATTAGGGATTGTAACTGTGATATTGGTTGATAGTTGTTCTGAGTGGACGAATGGACGAATGCTGTTCTTACATTGCCAAATCTTTACATTTACGTCTCCATCAGATCTTCCCTGTTCATCGATGATGCTACTCAAACACGTGAGTGTTTCCATCTGTTGCAGAGTTTTTCCATCAAGTGAGATTGTGTTGGTGTTCTCCGAGTTGTATTTGAGGATCTTGAATTTTCCTTTGTGTATGTTGAGGTCTACTGCTTCAGAGGCTGTTGTTTCACTGGTTGTGTTCATCTGTATTTGTTGATGTGTATTTGGTAGAAGAGCTAGATCATCTGTGAAGTTCAAATCGTCTAGTTGATTCCGAGCTGTCCAAAGTATTCCGTGCTTCCTCTCCGATGTGGAGGTCTTCATAATCCAGTCAACCATCAGAAGAAAGAGAGAGTAAGGAGGGTTCTACATTAACTATGCATAATTAATACATCATTGTACCTTCTGAATAATCGAATTCTCCACAACTCAACCAAATCGACTGAAACAAAATCATATTTAAAGAACATAACTTACTATTTAAAATATTTTTTAAATGTTTTAAATGTTCTGTTGCTTTGAATAAATTATTCATTAATAATCCATTTTCTTCGCTTAAACAATACTGAAATATTATAAAAGGAAAAAAGAAAAAACAACTGAGCATTTAAAAAAGGTACCAGTCGTTAGTTTAATCGATTTAAATGACGTTTTTGTCATTAATCAACGTTAGTCTTAGATTTAACATTATTTTTAATCTTTCTATTGTAGTTCTCATAGATATAATTGCCTTCTCAACATATTATAAAAGCTCGGCTCCTGAGCGATTGTGAATCCATTTATTCAAGTTTAGATGGCAGTTATCAAAAAATCTTTATTACAGCAATTGAGAAATATAAGGTATTAGACAGGGGAGAAATCAATTTTTGCGTGTTTCTTTGTAATAATCACTGGTGGCGTCGTCTTGGAATCAGAAGATCAGTTATTTTCAGTTTTGACGGTTGCTCTGACAACAATAAGATCACTAGATTGAAATTTAGGTGACAAAATATTTTGTTATCTAACCAAATTGTTTTCACATTATTATTATTATCCTTGTCTTCTCTTACCCCCCATTTCCAGTCTAGTTGACCTTTTATTTTTATATATCAATGTTCTTAGCAAGTATATGTATGATCAGACTGTTCGAAATGCATTGCTCTAATATATCACATAGTTCAGATAATCTTTGTCTTCTTATTACACTATCGAAAAATAATCCTATTATTTAACTTCGTCGACCCTAATTCAATCAGTCAGAACCCTAGGTAATTAACTTCTATGGAATAAGTGAATAATAACAATCAGTTATAAGGGTTTTAACTTTTCATTGTTAACTTTCACAATTGAATTTAATCAGCAAACAAAAAAATACAATCTTTACAGTTGATAACAAACGTCATGTTTGTTGAAAATATTCGTTATATTTGTGACTCGTTTGTTTTATGTATAAGGGGTTTGTTAAGTTTGAGGAGATTACAATATCACCTCAAACCAGCAAAAAGAACGAAAGTCAACAATACAACAACAGAACAAGCTAAACTATTCCACTGCGCCAGAGACCTATTAACTAGACGGATAAGACTAGATTCAATAGAGGGAAATGTATATTACACAGGCAACTCAAAAGCAAGAACAGACAAGCACACAACTTATGCGTATATGTATCGTTTAAAAATGTTATTAGAAAACGTCACAAAATAGTATACTAAAACAGGAAACGAACCAATGACATTTGGGCTATTTCTAAGTGGGAAATGCAAATAGAAGGTAAAAGTGGGCGATTTGGCGCGAAAATGAGAAATTTAAATTTCCAAAATAGAAATTACGAAAATGAGGCTTTTATCAAGTGATTCCTGGGGACTTAGTATCTGCTACAAAGTTAATGCTTTAATCAGTATGTATTGAATGTGAGTCTTATGTGATCATGAACACTAAAATACTGTAAAGTTCTTATTAATGTAACATGAAGAATTCCTTTGTGACATTTAAGTCAAAATATAAATCAGTCGTAAAATTTAATTCATAATGCATCCCAACTGATTTAGAATAGAATTTCAACAAGAGATAATATTACTAAAAGTAAAAATAGCAATAAGAGAAGTCATTGAAAAATTAGAAACGTTTGACTGGCTGCATTAGGTATTTCCTGGAGTTCTAGTGAGAAGCAGTAACCAGTGGAGTTCAACTAGGTCTGTTGAGAGATATCAACTAACCGAAGACATTGGTGAATGGTTGCTCAATTTCGTGGAATGGTTGCAGTCAGACATTAACACCGTTGGATGCTAGCTCAGTGGTCTGTCAGTCAAGTGCTCTGGTGCGAGACTGGTAGGTCCTGGGTTGGAATCTCGCGAGGTGGGATTGTGGATGCGCACTACTGAGGAATCAGTCCCACAATGAGACAAAACGGACGTCCAGTGCTTCCAGGTTTTTCATGGTGGTCTAGCTTCAATTGACTCATGGTTTCAACTATATAAAATTACTAAAATCTCCACAAAACTCTCTTTTGATAAAGTTTGAAACAGTTTAGATTTCACTAATTTATTATTATTATTATCTGGCATGAATTAACTTCCGACATAAGTTTTAATGTTTAAAGATACATTGGATAGATGTTTGATTCAACTATACATTCTCTATTTTTTCAATATGCTTAAATAAAAAAATGTTTTCCATCAGTAAACTAATAACTAAAAACTGTAGACATTATATTCAATTTCAATAAAAAAGAAAACAAAATAATTAAATTTTCAATGAATATTATTTTATTAGAAGAGAATAGATTAAAATGAAAAAAAAGAAAAAAAGAAAAAAATTTTTCTACTCTAAATTGGATGATAAACCTATTTTGTTGCCAGTTAATTTCCTATGGATAAATCAATAGACTTTAACAAAAATGATAGATGAGGTTGAATAGTTGATAGTTTTTTTAAAAAAAAAACAGAAAACGGAAAATAAATCCAACTCAGAGAACAAAACTCCATCAAAATCATCCAACTTAACTACAAATCTTCTCCATCAAACTAATTTTTAAATTATTATAGTCTGATAATAAACTAACTATTTAGGAAGCATAAAAAAGGAGTTTTTGTAGTAGACTGTAAATAATTAGCTTTGTGTTAGGGAAAAAATACACAACACAACTGTCTCTGCTTTTTGGAGCTGATTTACATAGAGTTTAGGTGGAAATGATAGTCAGATAAAAGTGATTGTATTGCCTAAATTAACTTTATTTATATTGAAAACAATAATTTTTTAAAAAAAAACAATCAGTTGTTTTCTGAAATCTGAAATAATTTGATGAAAATATGAAATTCATTTGACAAATATGGTGTATTTAGACTGGACATTTTCAGGGTCCGATGAAAAGTTTGTATGAGTTTTTTTATTGGGATCATGAATCCATGAATGGTAAACCACCATTGAAAACCTGGAAGCACTAGACGGTCGTTTCATCCTAGTATAGGACTCCTTAGCAAAAAAGCTTCCTGAATCCTGCACGCGAATGCTTGAACACTAGACTACTGAGCCGGCATTCAACAGTCTTAATGTCTAAACCCTCAGCATTTGCCATAAATCTATGATGTGTTTATTAATTTGTCTATAAGTGAGTCTATAAGGTGATAGGAAGGCTTCAAGTTTCCTAATTTGTTTACCAGTTATTAACAAATTCTTTCCCGTAACAATGAGTCCGAGTACCGATTTTAAAATCTACATTTCTGCATGATCTTGCTGTTTCCTGATTGGCTTTTAAAACTTTTCTAGCTAATTTTCCTATGTCCCTAGGTCATGTTTTATCACTGTATATATAACGTTCCCATTCAATTTTGTCTGTGTTGAACATTAATTTTTTGCTATACTTCATGCAATTAGTTCCCTCTATAAATTTAATGAATTTATTACTACCCTGATAATCCTGTTGCTTTCTTTTTTTTGATGTTGGTTATTAGTTTTATTTTGGTTAATATTTAGTTTGTTATATTTCTCTCCCATTACCGAATTCTTAAACCACCCTTTTACTCACACAATTCCACTCACTTGATTCTATTAAATTGTGTGAACTCTACAAATTCTATTCAATTATTACGTAACCCATCTTATCAGTTTTTAATTCGATGAATCCTTTATTACCTCAAAAAATTATCACACAATCTATCGTATCTGTCTCTGAACTACGCTCAACTATTACACCACCCATCCTTAATGTTTCCTTGATTCTAACACCTAAAAACCTCTGACCCATTCTTGCATATATATATATATACATATATATACTATTTTTTATCTTAATGTTTTATCTTAAAATTTTAATACATATTTAGTTGTAAGTAGTTGACGAGAAACTACGAAATATAATGAATTCGTATTATTCTGCATCAATATTTGTTCTCTCTATACGCCTGCTTTCTTCTTGGGTTTCAATGTTTAGGGATTATTGTTGAAGGGTTTAGCTTATCAGTTCGTGCATTATTGAGTTCGTATTCGACTGATCCTGATCGTGCGTAACTGGAAATTACCGTAGGCCAACCGCCTTCTTAATCAAAATTCACCAAATCTGAAATCATCTTCACCTAAATCAGGTGTTATCCATTATCTTGTAAAAATAAACGTCTTATTAATGCTCGGTCAAAATGTTTTTATTCTTATAATTCTCTCTTTTCATTAGGTTATTCCAATGCAAAAAATGCAGAAGGTAAGTTAAAAAGTTAAAAAATGAACAATATTTATGTGAAACATTCGAAAGAAGTGATGTGAATTTCTTCGTTTGACTCATTCAAGAAAAGGTTAGATCTATACAAAACCTTACTCATAAATATTTATGAAAAATGATTGGATTACAATCATTAAAGTAATAATTCTGAGTCTGAATTCTCTAAATTTCAACTTTTAATCGATAATATTTCAAGGCTTTGCATAATGCTCACGGTTTAAGGGTAAGTTACAGTTTGAATATTGAGCCATATTGTTATCATTATTATACTTTAGTACTGTTTATTGTTTACCGGAAAATAAACAGATAAATACCAGAATATCATATATATATATATATATATATATATATATATATATATATATATAAAGTGTGGAGAGCGAGATCTCAATAAAGGAAACACTCATGTCAGCTTTTTGATGATAACAATTCTTAAAATGGAATAGAAAAACAACCGACAGCGTATACATAAAAAATTGTTGTGCTTCACTTCAGTAATAATTGTATAGAAAAGCATACATACATATATACAAGTAACTATACACTGTAATAAAATGAGAAAGAACCCTAAACTATAGATTTCATTTTAAGAAAATTTCTAGTGCAGTTAAATTCTATAAAATCAAACTTATAAAATATATAAGTAACTTATGGGATGAATTAATTGGAATAAATAAAGATTATGGTTATAATATTTTATGAATGTAATGTACTACTAGTAAAATTACTAATTTTTTCTATCTCTCTCCTTGTTATAAACCGATAAGCTTCTGAGTAAAGATGGATACTGGCTAGCAGTGGAATCCATGACGCGCGTTTCGTCCTATTTGAGACTCGTCAACTGGATGTACCTGCATCCCAGAGTTGATGTTCACCCAACGAAATAATAATCAAACATCAAAACTATCCAATATAAATAGGTGCATGGTTATCCGGTTCATTGTATACTGAATAGATCATCCAATCAGAGTTACAAATGTCTAAACTAGGTATATGTATTAGTATATAAGAGATTTGTGATGTGAAATGATAACTGTTAAGATCACATATTGTATATATGTACGTAAGTGGTGAGAAGAGAAATTTCATTCATAATATACTGTCTCCTGTCGGTGAATTTTTAAGAAACCATACAAAATTGTTAATGTTGATATGACTCATATAAAATGTTACCATTTGAATCTGTATATATGTTTAGTGAAAATTTAAGATCCATGATCAGAATATAAATATGGGTCAGATAGGATGAGAGAGATATATATGATGATAGTGCAAATTACAATTCGATCAAGAAGTTTAATTAACAAAATCTAATACGATTTAAAGCCTTAAATATTATATCATCAAAAGTATGAAAATTATAAATTTACAAAATAAAACATTAAACATACCATTTTCCTAGATACTTCACAAAATAATTCATCAATATGCTTGATCCGATTAGAAAGATCATTTGATCTAATATTATTGTTATTATTACCATCAGGTTTCCAATTAGTTTTTATTTCTTTATTGAATAAATCGATTTCTTTCCTTTTGATATCATTTTCTATTGAATCATAATTCCCCGTATTATTTATTTCATCTTTATTTATTATTTCATTTTTTAATAATAAATGATTATTGAATGGATGAATATTTTTCAATGTAACTTGTTTATTTGAATTTGCTATGGATACTAATGTAATATGAGATTTATATGAATCTGTATCATCATTATCATTTATTTGATTTTCATTTAAATTATAATAATTTTGATTTATTTCTAATTTTGGTAATAATGTAGGAAACATTGGTAAACGATATGAATGTATCATTGTAGCAACTTGTGAAGTATTCATTGTAAAAATATGAGATTCAGGAGTGAAATTAATTTGAGTTTCATATAGTTGTCGATTTTTATTTCTGTAAATTGAAAGGTCAATGAAATAATTAATTAGAAATAAAAGTTGAAGACACTTCAGCTATGGAAATTACCTTTATGACGATTTTATTCATTTAAGTTGTACAAGCGTATTTGTAGTTAATTGTATTTGCTAACGTATTTGTCTATAGTGATACTGTAGTGTGGTCTACTTATACCCACATAAGTAGTATATGGTGATGGTCAGACATAGAATGTATTTTGTCCGGGGTAAAGGATCAGGGTTAGGGATGATGTCAGCTATTCCATCTTGTAGGAAACAACACTAACCACAAAAATCAATTTAAACCAATCAAACTCTACCCTGGGAGTTAAATTGCCTTCAGTTAGAAGAAATATATATCGTCTCATGATGAAAGTCGATATTCTTCAGAAGTCACGAGATCGATGCTTCTTCTGACAACCAGAGCAACAATTAATACAACTGATTAATATTTGTTTGATATACACTTACATACGCATTATACAGTAATTACTAAGAGGAATTTGTAAGTTTCTGATTAGTGTATGTGATTTCAATAAGGCTAGAAAATATGAATGACCCATAATATTATTAATCACGATGAAAACAATAAAAGGGAATAAACGTGACTAGGGTGATGATGGTGATGACGAATTATTGCAAAATTTTCTAAAAAAATTATTATTTATTCTTACAACTTTACCCTCCAAGTGTAGTAAGCAAGGAAAAAAAATTGAAATTTGAAAATTACCGAAAAATTGTTAAAACATGTGTATCTTTTTAAACTAACCAATCAAATAATCATTTTTATTTGTCTCATTCACTTGTTTTAATTTCTATTTCCAAAAAAGAAAAAGAAACAATTTTCCTATTCATAAAGGTGATTTTCTAAGGTTTCAGTCTAAACTAATGTCAGATGTGGAACATGAAAAGAATGACCTCTCCCACTTTATTGATATTGCCCATACAACAGAGGGAAGATCGGACAGTTTGACGTTCAGTTTATCGAAAACGTACTTGCAATGGTCTTTACCTGGATTTTAACAGTTTCCTTTTCAATCAGTTACAACGAAGCGTTAGTCAGAACACTATTTTCTGGAGCAGAAATGATATGTACCACCGACAAACTAGGAGAAGAAATGATGAAGGTTGAAAAATACCTAAGTAACAACTGCTACCCACAGAAATTTATTGACAAAAATAAAAAACCTAAAGAAAAGAAGATGGAAGTGACTACAGTCAGTAAAAATCCAATATATACAAACCTTAACTTTAAACGTGACGACGTCGTGACCACTGTCAGAACAAAACTTAACACTGCACTAGTCAGAACTTACCCGGCAGCCAAACTATTATTTCTGTATAAAACAGTATGTTCGCTAACTCACTAAAAGGTCGAAAAGTAGCCTTTTCATTTTACCGTCAACTATGTTTATAAAATTACGTGTACCTGCCAAAGCAGCTACATTGACCGAACAGAAAGGTTTTGCAAACATGTTCCAAAAAGCCTTAGTATAGGGGAAAGAATGACTTTAAACAGTGCAATTACTAAACATCTCTTGAATACTAGACATCAGGTTGATAACTTGCAATCTTTCACGCTGATTAATAAACAGCCAAGCTCCAGTTATCTGGAGTTGGCTAAAGTCACCGCTATCAGGCGTCAAAATCCTGATTTATGTGTTCAAAAGGTGATGGTTAATAATGTCTTATCTACATGGTCATAAATATTCCTTCTCTGCATCTTAAAAAAGTTTTTTTGCACACTTTCTCTGATTTAATTACACTATTACGTGTTTTTATTTTAACTGTCTTATAAAATAGTGATTTTATTTTATTAACTGAGCTTTACTCATTTCATCCTTACTTACTACTCATTACGTAACCAATTGCTTCTAGTCCTTTGGACTCTTATTACAATCAATGTTGTAAAATATTCTTTCACACAAAGTATATATTTACCATATTCGGTCTATTAAATTTATTTACACCTTTGCTATACTATACTGATGTGTCTTCAAAGTAACTCCCAACTAAAATCTTTCATGTAAATAAGTTGAACTCATTTTGTAATTGTTGTTTTTTAAATATCACAAGTTGTAAACAGCTGACGAGAATCAGAAGAAATAAAATGAATCCATGCTATTCAGGTAAGCTCTTTGTTCTCGTTCTCTTCAATATGGTAAAGGGGACTGTGTACATGAGATAAGGTAAATGACATTTTCGAGCAGAAAATAATTTTATTCAAAGTGCGCAGTGTATTGTTACGCATAGATAACGAAAGTAATGAATTCATAGGATGAAAGTTCATCAGAAAGGAAAAGTGAGGTGTGATACATAATAGTAATTATTACAGTTAGGGTGTTCATTGACCAACATCAAATATAATTCAGTTGTCCATGAAAAAAGTCCAACAACTCCATGATAAAACTAATGTACAGCAAACAAAGTAATACAAAGATAATCAGACTTTATTTCTGTTTCCGTTTAATTTGAGTTAATCAGTTAGATCAAGTAACTCATAGATATCACCACTAGTTCAAAAGTCTTAAAATAATCTTCTTGGACCTTGAGTTATTCAGCACTCTTTATACGCAAATCTAAACTGTCAGTTATATCAGATTATATAAATAACATAAGCCAGGTTCAAGAGTTGACCTGTTGTACAAATTCTCTTAAAGATGTCGTGTATGTCAGACCCGATGGTTGTCACAATATCACAAGTAGAGTGAATAGTTTGGTATGAAATTCAACATTGTAAAAACAATTAGGATAATCAACAATAGTAACTACAATCAAACAGAAGATTCTATGAAATTTTTTATATTTTATATAGTTGAAATCATGAGTAGATTGAAGTTGGACCACCGTTAAAAACCCGGAAGTACTGGACGGCCGTTTCATTCTATTGTGGGGCTGACTCTTCAGCAGTGCGCATCCACGATCCAGCCTCGCGAGATTCCAACCCGAGACCTATCAGTCTCGCTCGCGAGCTTTTAACCACTAGACCACTGAGCTGGCATCCAACGATGTTAATGTCTAACTTCAACCAATCTACGAAATTGAGCAACCATTCACCAATGTTTTCGGTTAGTTGATATCTCCCAACAGACCTGGTTGAACTCCACTGGTTACTGCCTCTCACTAGAACTCCAGGAAATACTTCATGGAGCCAGTCACTTGTGAGCATATGATCATTCGAATCTCGCGAGGCGGGATCGTGGATGCGCACTGCTGAGGAGTCAGTCTCACAATAGAACGAAATGACCGTCCAATGCTTCCAGGTTTTCAATGGTGGTCTAGCTTCAGTTGACTCATGATTTCAATTATATAAAATTACTAAAATCTCCACAAAACCCCCTTCTGATTTTTATAATTAATTCATAAAAGAAATGTATTAAGTATTTATTATCTCTTATAAAGAGGTAATGAATTATTGATTATAGGTAGATCAATGGATAATCTAAATTAATTATTCAATTAATAATACTTATTAGTTTCTATTTGTTAGTAGTATTAATCAAGTACCAGAAGTTTCTTATTAATTGATTAACTATCAATCATAAAGGAGTCATAGTGTTTAATATTAACAGTTTAAATGATTAATTATTAAGTAGTTGACATATATATCTGACAAATAACTATTTAGCAAATATATCTTAATATAATGATTAAATCTTATGAAATGAATAAACTTAATTTCATTGAATTAAATCTATTCTAAGAATAAGTTAATGTATTCAATTAGATAGGTCTCTTTCATAGTTGAATAACCATTATTTATAATAATAGATAATTAATTATTTCTACAAATTAATAGATTAAACAATACTGAATTATCTTAAAGATAGAAGATTGTTACAGATTATTAATCTATTAATCTATTGACTATCTGATTAAAGAAGAGTTATTCAGTATATCAATTAAAATTCCCTGTCTAAGAAACCAAATCCTATCAGCAAAAACCTACTGTATGAGACAGAACAAACCAGATTCCATCTGGCGGAGGAAGAAATCAGAAAGAAGCACTGGAAGTGAATAGGGCACACATTGAGGAAAGCACCCAACTGCGTCACAAGACAAGCCCTCACATGGAATCCTGAAGGCCAAGGGAGAAGAGGAAGACCAAAGAACACATTACGCCTAGAAATGGAAACAGACATGAGAAGAATGAACAAAAACTAGATAGAATTAGAAAGGAAGGTCCAGGACAGAATGGGTTGAAGAATGCTGGTCGGCGGCCTATGCTTCATTGGGAGTAACGGGCGTAAGTTATATATATATATATATATATATATATATATATATATATTCAATTGTTTGATCCAAGTCACTAGGTGCACAATAAGTAATAAAATAGAATCTTCCTAATCAGTAATCTTCACTCACTCAGAAATCTAACCAACTTCGGTCTAACTGCATCAAAAGATACTATTATTAAAATAATAGTCAGTGATATCAATTAGACAAATATACACAAGTCAAATTAGACTCATATGTATATCGGTTCATCGTTTATGCTTTACACCAATAAAATGAGGTTAAGGTACCAAGATTAATGATTGAAAGTTGAAAATAATTACACGAGAACTGGTAATAATATTCACAAGGAAAAGAGGTAAAGAAAAATGAGAGGAAAGAATCTGATAAAAAGTATACGATATTGCGATGTTTTTAGGTCTATGAAGATTAGTCTCATAGACACGGATTTTGACGTAAGTCATGCACAGTTATTAATTACAGATGAATGTAATCATTAGGACACCAACCAATAAGTATTCACCAACGTACATGACTGGGGATGTGTCACTAATTTCGTCAACTATTGTTATATCTTTGTTTGGCTGCTCTTTAACTTGAGCCAAACCACTTATTATTATTGTTATTTTCACTAGGATTGTTATTATTAATACTAGAGCAACTCGTATAACATCGTCAGGCTAGGTGTAATGCAGATAAGCAAATCATGTGTAAATCATTTACTTTTACTAAGGTTTGTCACTCTAATCAGCCGATTGGCCTGAAATAGAAACATTTTTTATCCAATATATGTAGTATAAGTTATTTTTTAGTATTTTGTTCTTGACATAGATAACAACTGTATGCCAAATCTTGAGTCATAATACCAGTAATCATATCAGAAGTCGCCTCATTATGACCTTATAAGTTCAATTTGTTAAAAAAATATTTGGATGTTTATGGAATGTCGGGTTTGTTTTATCTAATTTAGATATATTATTATTGATAAAACCATGCCATGATATTTTACAGATGATAAGAAGTAGTTGAGACAGTATTCATTTAATTATTAAAAGTATGATGATTTTGATCGAAAATAAGTCAAGTATATGTATAGATGATTTTCTTCAGTACATAAATAGTGCTGTTTGAGACTAATTTATCACTGATAAGAAGAGACTGTTGAGTTTTGATCGAAATTAATTGTTCGTGCTCGAAACCGAAGGTCCTGGGTTCGAATCTCATGTGCAGGTTCGTGGATGCGCACTGCTGAGGAGTTCCATAATAGAAAGAAACGGTCGTCTAGTATTTCCTGGTTTTCTTCGAAGTTTACTTTAAAAAACACTGTTCAATTATTTCATAAAAGTTAATGTCATATTACGGAGTCACTAGTGATTATCTATTGGATTTTCTCGGTTACGTTTGTTACGCGTCACCGATCAAGCAACTTGACAATATAATTTATTTATTTGGCGTTTTAATCAGTACAAAGCTATTTGGTATAATTTTTATTCTACGGAACAAAATAGTTAAACTGTGAAAACATTAATTGGTGTTCTGGAACAATAACTGCAAATAAACCATTCAGCTTAGAGAACGGAACATTACCAAAAATATCCATCTGAACAAACAAATCTTGTTCGTTATTTCAAAATACAACGGATTGAATACCATATTATTGATTAGAACCTATATTCTAATGAGTTACATCAATTCAGTTTATTAATAGATTTGTTACAAATAGTATAATACAACAGTGACAATTTGGACTGTATCATTGAATGGTATGAGTTATTAATCATCAATAAAGAAAGAGTTCAATCTCTTTAACTTTCCGCATATATTTTATTAAACAATTCATATCAACCTAAAATGCAATTCAACAGCTTTTTAAAATTTTTGACTTGAAACATTAAGTATATATAGCCCCCCAAGTGTCGTGGTACGGCCGGGAGTGGTGAGAGTTCACTCTTCCTCTCGAAATGCTCTCACATGGCCACGCGAATATATAGCCTCTGCCAAGGAAGTCCTACTCACTGCCTTCTCGTGGCGGGGGTGTTATTTACGAAACTGAGAGGACGAGAAGCGAATTTCCGGCGCTTTACCCGGGTTGGTGGACACGGCAAATTCACCTAGGGGAGTTGAGAAACCCTGATTCCAAACCAATGGTGCACATGGACTCCAGTATCCTGAGGGAACAAATGGCGTATGAATCAATCGTTGGTCACTGGCTACCATGGGAATGTATCTCCTCACGATGCTCCACTGCCTTGTGGATCAGACCTTTAGGTCAAAGGCTACAGGTGTGGCCTCTAAAAAACCGCCTACTTCGGTCTGGGCATCTGGGCAGTATCACAGCCCTCACACAAATCAAGTGAGATTCGTGTGGCGCATATATATCTGGTGCCCCTTTGTACCAATATTTATGTGTTTAGATAAATAAATAAACCTCCACAAAAAAGTTTTTGAGTGTGGAACTTGATTGAAAAACTTCTAATATACTTGGTACTATTTTTATTGTGTGATAGAGTTTTATTGTTTATTCAAAATAAATAATTAAAATATTTTTGACTTATGTCTGAATTACTTTTATTGATTTGTAAGTTAATCAACCATGCTTAAACCGAAAGCAAACAGTTTGTTGACTTTCTAATGTTAGAATATCAAGTAATAATAATAGTAATATTCTGATGCTAATGAATGAACGAAACAACAATCAACCTAAAATGATTACTCTATACAATCTATTAAAGCTACTTTTCTTAAAGTCACTGAAACATTTTGGAGATTAAATCATGGATTGATCTTCATTCGGTAATCACTGGAAATCAGGAAATATAGGATAGCTATTTTGTCTTACAGATAGGACACCTAAATATTGTTCATACATGTATCCATTACTAATGATTGAACCCAAGACCATCAG